TTTGAAAAGGTACACAAAGGCATATAGCAAAGTCAGTCTCTCTCTTCATGTCCTTTTTTATTTTTTTTATTTTATTTATTATTTATTTATTTATTTATTTATTTATTTTTGTACTTGGAATTGAACTCAGGACCCTGGCATGGAGCTACATTCCCAATTCTTTTTCATTATTTTAGTTTAAGATGGGGGTCTCACTATTCACTAAATTTCCTAGGCTTGGCTAGAATTTAAATAATTCATTCTGCTTTCCAGAGTGCTAGGATTACAGACATCTCTTTGCCCATTTTTAGCCATGCCAGACCCCTTACCAAAGACAACTTCTATTTGGAGTTTCTCATGTATCCTTCCATAGATACTCTTCTTGGTTAGACTATCTCTGTGTTAGCCTGATCACTAGGCCCTCAGAGCAGTCAGAAGCAAAGAACAACCATCAAACTTGTCTCGGCAAAGACTGACCAAAAGGGCAAGACTCACAAAAGTCTAGGGTCACCATCTTTTGGGGGGACAAAAGTTGTTGTTTGTAGCCCAATAAAATCCAAATATAAGATATGAGCATAGAAAAGTTACTGTCGCTGGAGGATCAAGGAATGCTTCAGGGAAGAAATGGAAGTTCAACAGCACTGCTGTCATTTCTCAGGTTTTCATGTATTCATTCTCACCAACTATTTATGAGGTCCATATTATATTTAGCATTATGGTATGGGACACATAAGAAAGCACAGTCCATGTCCTTAAGCAACTCATCTAATAAGAGACAAACAAGTAACCAGAATAAAGTGTGCTGAATTCTATAATTGAGGTGTTGCTATTAAGGCTCAGTGAAGAAAGTGGCTTTTTGGCAAAAAGTAGGGTACCAAAAAGAGAATACTTGAAGCAAAAGAACTGGCAGAAACCCAAACATGAGACCTACTTAGAGGACCAGTTTATCAGAAGCAAAAGGATATGTGAGTAATGACACAGGTTATAATTAAAGATACATAAGGAGTTATCAAAACTCAAGTCAAGAAGATATAAAAATTCTAAAAAGAGAAAACTGTAACAATTCCAAATAAACCAATATGAGTCAATGAAGGTTTTTTTGTTTTTTGGGGGGTTTTGTTTTGTTTTGTTTTTGGCTGGCTCAGGCTACCTTAAGGGTAGGTCTGGTAAGGTATGTGGAGCTTAGGATCGAACTGCAGTATCCTGCACCTAATATGAGTCAATGAAATTGGAGATGTAACTAAAAATCTACCAACAAAGAAAATGTAGAATGTTTTCTTCCTTAATTTTGGGTGTCAAGTATTCTGTCCCAACAATGAGAAAAAAGTAACCAAGGCAGATTTTGGTACCAAGAATGGGGTCCTTGCTGTGACTATACCTTACCATCTGGTTCGAGAGCCTTTGGGAATGGCTTATGGGCAGAGACCGGAAAGGTTTGGAGATATCCCCTAAAAGAGAAGCACTGAAATGCCTTTGGCTGTTCTGTATGGGAGATTCTGGTGAGCTCTGAAGACCAGAAGCCTGATAGAAATCCTGTTTTTGTAAAGACCAGGCTCTGGAGAGGTTTCGGCTGCGAAGAACTGCACTGGTTGTTGGACTCTAGATGATGTGTACTATGGTTTGACAGAAAGTTTGTCTGCACTTTGCTCATGTCCAGAGATTTTGCCTGAGACTAATGGTAATAGACTAAATCTGGCAAAAGAAATTTTAAGGCAGACAAATGTTGAGGCAGTGGTATGGCTATTGTTGGGGGTTTTTCACCAGATTTATGTTGTAAATCAAAGATCCCAGTAGGAAAAAAATGAAAATAAAATAAAAAGATCCCAGTAGGATGACTTAAAATGTTGTGAGTTTGGCCAGAAAGGAAGCACCAATAAAGCTATGGACTACAAAGATAGAGCTGAGATCTCCATTGCCAAGAAGGAACAGGAGAATAAAAAAGATGGCCTTAGGGCATCACAAGAAGCAGCAAATCTCCACCCTCTGTAGCCTCAAAATTGCAAAAGTAATAGATTTTTCTTTGAGGAGAAAGCCACAGAGTGCCATATTCCACAATGGCAGTGGTAGACACACCAGATTCCAGAATGGCAGCACTAATAATTTGTTCCTCAGAATCAGGTTCAGAGTGTTCAGTAATCCAGGGACTCAACTCCTATAGCGAAAAGAGAAGAAAACCTGCCTACTGCTCCAGCTGGCATCAGAGCTGACATCATCCACATGGCGTTGATTTTAGGTGCATGCAGAATGCAAGAGGTCTGAAGTTAAGAAGGATTCCACCTAGATTTCAGATGACTTGGGAGGCCAAGCAGTGTGCCCCCTGAGAGGGTAGTGTGTGAGGCAGAGAAAAACCTAATGTAGCGGAAAACCCAGATGTTTATAAAAGCCAGAAATGTGCATCATCTAAGTAAAGTTGCAAGGAGGGAGCAAAGCAGGCCTAAGACAGAAGCCCTGGGAGCTACAACCCCCAGAAGTACCAGATAGGTGGAGCACACAATTTGCCACAGGTTGCTTCGAATGTTCCACATGGAACTACAGGATTCAATGTCTGCCCTTCTGGATTTTGGACTTGCTTTGGTCCCAGTGCTTTATATCCTGCTGTTTCTAACTTTTGGAATGGTAATGTTTTTCTTGTACACTGAACGTTGGAAGTGTTCAACTTTTCATTTGTATAGGGGCTCACAGCTAAGAGTTTGCCTTAGATTGTGGAGAAGACTTGGGACTTGGACTTTTCAGCAATGCTGAAACTGTTATGACTTTGACAATTCAGAGATGGACTAAATGCCTTTTGTATAAAGTGATATACATGAGTCTTTGGGGTGCCAGGGGTGGAATGTTATGGTTTATATCTAAATGTTCCTCCAAAGCCTCATGGAATCATAGGGTGGGCTTCTAGAATTTGTGATTAATTTATGATCCAATGCTGGGATTTGAGTGCTACACTTGCCCTGGGGCAGACAGCCTGCATACAATATAAGGGAGGAAAAGAGGCTTGCTCTCTGCTGCTCCTCCCTTTTTGCTCTTGCTGTTTTGCTGTTTTCCACTGCCATGAATTGCTGCTGTCTGCCACATGTCCTTCTGCTTTTCAGCCAGTCAAATATGGAATGAAACCTCCACAAACTGTGAGTTAAATAAACCTTTTCTTTCTTAATTTGGGGTATCAGGTGTTTTGTCCCAGCAATGATAGAAAAGTAACTGAAACAAATAGATTTGGGAAATGGGAAGAAAGTGCCCAAATGAGAAGGGAAACAAGGAAAAGTAAGAGAGGGGGGAAAAGGGAAAAGGGAAAAAAATGAAAGAGAAAATAGGAAAAACTAGAAACAGAGTTTTTGTAAATAAGGAGGGGAAGAGGGTTTAAAGAGAAGAGAGGGGAATGGGAAAAAAGAAGCAACAAGATATATCATTATGTGTATTTAAAAATGACCAATAAAATTTAAAAAGATTGTAAAAAAGAAAAAAAAGTGGCTCTGTGGCATAAAGTTAGGTATCAAGGAGAGAATGCTCTAGGCAAAAGAACTGGCAGAGACCCAAATGTGAGGCCTGCTTAGAGGACAACATAGATGAGGCTATCAGAAGCAGAGAGACATGTAATGACACAGGTTATAATTAAAGTGGTAAGACAGGGATACACTGCCATGGCATAGAACACTAAGACAAACTAACACAATTAAAACATATTAGCAGCTGCTGGGTGCCACTACAGGTTTCCAAGCCAGTGTTCACTGATCAGCACTACACATAGGAAAACTAGAAGTGGCAATGATATACAATATCCTGGAAAATATGAAGCAGGAAATAAGAAATTTCTGTAATAACTCAGGAGCACTATAATAGGAAACCAGGAAAGTAGTACAGTGAGGTAAGAACAATGCTGCTGAGGCTTACCAAGAAATTTAAGACAACAGCATTCCCTTGAAAATACTCTAAATCCTATCTTTTTTTTTTTCCACCAGCTCAGACTGGCTTTGTCCCAAAATAATGAGCTCCTTACCTTACTTGCTTTGTTCAGAGAAATAAGGCATAGGCTAGTTATGGTGCTTGAATTTTTTTTAATCTAGTTTGAGGACTGGTGATTTAGCTCAGTGGCACAGCACCTGCCTGGCAAGCACAAGGTCCTGAGTTTGATTA